GGGCTACTACCACATACAAACACCATTCACGTGCGATGTGTACTTTTGGCGGAAAAGTGAAATATAGGGACATACACGTCCATTTTTATTTATATACCATATATATATATATATAATAATAAAAAGGTGTCAAATTAATAAAGATTAAAGTTTTGTTTTTAATATTAGATAAAGAGAAAGTGGAAAATAGGAAGAAAGAGAATGGGGAAGGACATCATAGACTTGTTTGAAATCATAAAAAAAAAATAGTATTTCGTACAAGAAAAACTTGACAGTCTTCTTTTATAAACAGAAGGGGGACAATCAAGAGAACAAAACCTTTCAATTGACAGAATCTCTCCTTCAGATACGCAGAATCTTTTCTGGTAAGATGCCAAAACTTTGATTGTATTTATAAAAGAAACAGTTTTTGACATATGGACGAATCACTTTATATAATATGAATGATATTTAATATTGTTTCATATACAGATTTGCTTAATTTTATTTATTACATAAGTAAAATTAGTTAAAGAGGATAAACATATCAAATCCATAATGTCTAAACTGATATTTATAATTATATCGACTTGAAAATCGTGTGATAAACCTCGGTTCAACAAACAGATAACAATTCTGCATCAGATACTAACTTTATCCATAAATCTTCAGTAAATTATTAGGTTTCCTACATGGCTATTAGCTGTGATGAATAAATTTAATTTCAATGGATATCATCCTCTATGGCAATTTACACAATTTAATTTCTAAATATTCATAAAGATAGTTTCTCTCTCTCTAACTTTATTACGTTTTCCTATAATTAAATTAAATACAGAGTTTCCTAATAATTCGATATTTAATTTTTAAGATACAGTACGTTTTAAAATAACATTTTTAATGATACTTTGCAAAAAAAAAAAAAAAAACTGTTTAGTCTTTGCCGTATATTAGCATCGCTTTTAGACTAGTTCAATTTAAAATCATTTAAATAATATTTGTCTGTATAATAATTTCAAAATGTCTAAGTTTAGGAATAATTACATTACGCGAATATCCAACTTACGTAACGTTGAAGATAATGAGAATATGCTTAATGGTTATCAAACTCCACGCTAATGGTAACAGCAACATTTAACTATTTTATACGATCTTTAATTATAGAACGAATGTGCATCCGTGGAAATAAACTGGCTCGAGTCTAGACAGGAAACTAAGATTGGATTCTAGCCAGCACGTGATGGGTCAAGCGAGCGAATCTATGACTCAAAACACAATAGAAAGAACACCATAACGATTATGCTTAATGTGTTTCACCGCGTAGAGCCCCTGTAAATGACACTTCCCCTCGAAGCTTAGAAAGCCTGCGTGTTTTCCAAGAGAATTTTTAAGTTAAAAATATGTTTAAAACGACTAAAAGAAACTATAATATAGCTTAAAATTCTCTAAAAGTTATTAAAATATAACTTACTATTTATTAATTTTCCTTCGATTCTCTTGGCATCGGTTATCCTTAAAGATGTTGATTACTTAAAATTTTTCTGTTTAATATTTTTGATAGACTTATAGGAAAATATTAAATTTGTTGTTGTGTTATAAGAAACGACCGATCACCGAGACACACAGTTATCTAGTGGTGAGGAGAATGCACGAAGTACAGTACAGGAGGCAGGAGCATGCGTGTAAGTATAGGAGTCGAAGTCACCCAATAGTATTTCATCGTTTCTAGTTTGTTTTGCTGAAGAGCCAAAAGCAAAATGTGTCGTCTTAGCTTTCTTATCGCCAACATTAAGTCCTTTTAACTGGTTCCTTGATTTAGATGCCACATTCTCGATAAGGTTGTCAACGTAGTTTATAGAAGACGTCAGTCTTTCCATCGGAAAATCCTATTTAAGATAAGTTCAGTAGCGAGTTTGTTGATGAATAAATCATCTGTTCGTCATTAGTACAATACGAATTGTTAGATGAAATTGTAATTTACTAATAAAATTGACCAAAAAAAATCTCCCAGAAAGAGATTTAGGAGGTAATTCTCTTTCTAATAAATAAATAATGCAAATTTTTGATGATATAGAAAAGTCGTTAAGCGAATTTCTTTTAATAAATTGCAGTCGTAACAAATTATATTAATAATTAATTTTATATAGACAATAATCAACATGGTTAGTTAATTACAATAGTTAGTTTAGTAACTAGTTTTAGATATTTGTTTAAGGATTAGCGGCAACAACAGTTATGATAATCTCTTCAAACATGATACATAGCATTAGAGTATTTAATATTAATAAAGGCCAACGAATGTTAACGATAATTAATTAATATAAGAAATATTTCTTGAACATTTTTTTACGTTTTAAACTCTATTTTTAAAACGATTACTTCGAATTTTAAAAGTAGAGTAACCGATGTTTGAATTTAATAGAATTATTTACTTTCGATTCTTCTTATTGATTGATTTACTTTTTTTTAATGATTTTAAAATTTAATATACGTTTTTAAAAAAAATCAATTTAAATTTAAATACGGTTTCTTATAATGGAAAACTTTAATTGCAATATCAGGAAACGACCTTAAAATTCGATTATTGTATCGCATTTGTGTTGAAGGATGACAGAAAGCAGCTCCATCAGCATCTGCAGTTGTCAGTTAGGGAATATATATATATTTTTTTCTTTATAGTTTAATTCGAGTATCAGTTCATCTATCTTGGATGGTGTTCATGACAAGAAACAAGGTAGCAGTGTTTTGAGTGACTAAGAATCCCAGGGTGGTCGAAATGATGCAGGTGTACCTAATTACTACCAAACTCACACTGATACCGCCCATACAGTTTCCTACACATCTGCTGGAAATGTAACTAAACTATTTCCTTAACTAAGTACAGTACATTAAAGGAATAAATTTTAACTAAAATGTTTTATGCTTTCTTAATTATCTTTTCGTATAATAATCGAGCCAAAGCATGTGATAAAAACCTGAAAAATTAACTCATTTTTTAATATAATTTGCTTAATTTTAAAGGTATTTTTATGTAGAAAAACACGATATTTAAACGAATAAATGATCGAAAATCGAAGGTTATATTCTATTAAAATAATTTATTTTTTATTAATCGATTAATTATTAAAATATTAAAAGAATAAAGAAAAATTATTCCATGTTTTCACAGTTTACGTAGCATAAAAATGGATTTTTTAAGAGAAAAATTTATGTATAAATCATCCATTCTTCCAGGAAAAAAAACAAATAAAATTAAAATATTTTAGCATTTAATAATTATATTTTGGATAATAATTGCATTAAAAACGTGCTAAATAATAAAGAAACTCAATTTAATTTTCAGCTTATAATCTATAAAAAATTCACTTTCATGTAGTAAAAAAATATATATTTACCTCTATTCATCTTCATATATAATTAAATTAGTGACATAAATTAATTTTGTTACAATATTTTTAACTTTTCTTAATTTATATTTATATAATGATTGCATTAAAATTATGTTAAAAATGAAATATAATATTCGTTATTTTAGATAATTTTCTTATATAATTTATCAAAAATTAAAATATTTTAGTAAAGTCAATTAAAATTTTATTGAACCTGTTACTGTGTTTAAAATTTAATCAAAACAATTAAAATATTTTTTCCATTTTTCTTTATCTCAAAATAAAAAAATAAATAAATAAATACGTACAGTCGAACCTGCAAACGACGGACACTGCTGGTAGTATAAAACATGGCCGTTGTTTGGAGGTGTCCGTTATTGGAGGTTCGACNTATATTGGGATCTACCAATCTCAATAAAAAACTAAGAAAACAGAAATAAGGTATCTGGAAAAATGCCTTTGGGTTTTCTATGGAAGAACGTTTACTTGGTTGTGGCTAAAGATTTTATTTTATTTTATTTTTTTCTTCTATTTTAGAAGGAACTTCTCTTTTACGAAAGATGAATAATCGATTATTTTTACATTTTCCATTCACAGAATCGAAATTCATCCCTAAGGTCGGAGGTTTTCTTGTTAGAAAAATTAGCTAACAAAGCAAATATATACAATAAAATCGAATTTAACATCGATTTTTATTATTCTATTATCATTAAAATGTATATATAAATTAATAATTTGATTTTTATTTCATATATTAAACAGTTATTAATTGATTTAAAGCGAATTTTGGAGCATTAAAAAAAAAAATAAGAATCGATACATCTTACATAAAATCAATGTAAAAAGTTTTAAGGAAATATTTTTAGAGATTTATTTGAGTGTAAAATATGGGAAAAATAATAATAATATATGTTTTTTTTATTTTTAAATTAAGTAAAATGCTGTTAAAAATGGATAGTGATCGAAGAATCGATCGCGATCGATCAATATCTGGAATAACAAATTACAATTTTAGTGACTTAATCGACTTTTGATTAAATTTCGATTATGTAAAAATTAATTACCCGAATTTGAAAGAAATCAATTTTATTATCGAATATATAAATAAAGCTTTTTTAAATATAATTTTTTTTAATTTAAAAATTATTGTTATTTTTATTTAATGAACCCATAAATGCGTAAAGATACTTAGGATCATTATCTTAAAACTAATTTTTTTTTCTTAAATTTTTCTGCTTTATTTTTGTTATTAATTTAATCGTTTGATCGATGTTAAAGATGGTAATTAATATATATTTAATTTATTAAGGTAATGAATTACAACGAGATCATTAAGCTACTTAATAAACCTTGACACTAATCGATTATTGTCATTAATGTTTCGATTAATGATCGATTATTCTTCTTGATAAATTATATATTATACTAGTTGTCTTACTCGAGTATTATGTCTTTTATTTATGTAATAGATTCGTCCTCTTTTCTGTTAGATTTTGGCAGTTCACTTCCTCCATCTGTTGCCACATCGCATCAGAATCATACTGACTTTAATATCATCCTCTTGCTAAGAAACGGCAATCACAATAGAATTATCGACTCGATAAACAAGTTTTTCTATTAAATATTCGCATTTATATCAATTATTATAAATATTTTATCTGTTTAATTGTGTTTAATCTTTAATAATTTTAATTTTGTAACGGGGGAAAGCGTATAAAACGAAGAGAAGACACGACCACTTAGATGGAACATATCACTACTTAATGGATATTTCTTGTACTTTGTTGGCAGTGGTATTGTCCAAATGCTATTCTGATACTCTTAGCAATAACGACCATTAAGTAACTGACTTTCTTTTGTTTCTTGATTTGCCACAATTCTTAAAGAAAATATAGAAATTTTACTTAAATAAATCTCTCGAGTAGTAAATAGAAATCATGTCTGGTTGAGTGACGTATCGGATGTAAACTCTCGATGTATGTGGAATAACGGAGCTTAATTTGCAAACTTTTATTGTATTTGTTCATACTTTAAAAGTTCTTACTCGGTTATTTGATATCTAGATTCCTTTTTTCTTTGCTTCTCTTTCTACTATAAATTTTTCAGAGAAGCTTTCAGAAGTTTCCACGCTTCATTACGCCAGAGAGGAAAACTCTTCTAGAAGGAAACGTCGCCTTTACAAGTCTCAACATTGTTGTAATTTATCGGAAATTGGATGGTCGATTCACTTAAACCACCATATTTCACACAACATTAACTTTAACTAGGATAATCTCTATATCTACTCTTTGACGTGTTTGTATGTTTGCTTTATATGGTTACATTAGATGGAAAAAGTCGTTGTTACTCGTTTTCTTTTATTAAAATTTATATTTTAGTGCGAAACTATTTTAAATTAATGTGCCGAGTTGCGGTTTCTATGGTTTTTTTAAACTGATTAATCCGCTCCGAGTATAGAATTTGATCCATTGATAAAAGTCTATCCTCGTGCGTGATAAAAGATGATCAACTCGATGCACACAGAACAAATTCAATTTTTCCTCCTCGAAAAAGATAAACTGCTCTCTCCAGCAATAAAAAAGATCCAAAATGACTAGTAGAAGATGGCGGAATTTAGTGGCATAAGTATATAGTTTTTTAATATGAAAACTTTTTAACTTATGTCATCCCTTTTCCATTAAACTTAAGCTTTAAGTAATCATTTGTCTTCATGTAAATCTTCATGTAAAAATTATCTTTATACAGATGAGAGAATTCTATTGAAACCCTTTTTTTTAATGCTTGCAATTTAATCAAACTCGAGCAATTACTAGAAAAGTTCTATTTAGCATTGCAGAAAGAGAATGCAAAGTTGCCTTTAAGATAGACGAATCCATCTCCAAGTTATTCAAGTATAGTCGATATTAACTTACTTACATTCGTGTTCCTAATTAGTTAATTTTCATTAATTTATTCGTAGATTTCCTCATTCTTCATTAATAATTTAATTAATTCTTAGTCAATAATAGCTTCCATATAATCAACTTCTTTATAGAATACGTAGATTTTATCTAGTTTTGGGGCTCTCTATGTGACATGCCAGCATCTTGCACATCCATTTTTATCGATAGGCTGAGAACTGAGCACGACTTTCTGATATTAACTGTTGAACATCGAATAGTTGTTTGATTCAACAGAGTTAATTAGTGTGCAAAGTTTGCTGTGTACGAATTCGTTGGGGAATTCGATTCACTAACCGAATCAAGGCAGTGACATCGTT